CAATCATCAAAAAGGGGGGGAAGAAACCGATTTCCTTGTCTTTCAAACAAAGTTAAAGAATCGTGCTAACGTAGTATGGGAGGAAAGGCGCTTTGAGAACCAGGCTGGATCGAAAGATGGGTTCGAAAACAATTTCATCTTTTTCATGGATGAAGGAAGGACATTGTTGGAAGAGAATATTTTCCGCGATGTTCGACGTTGCTTTTGCAAAGGCTATTTTTCAAGTAAAATGAATGTCTTTGCGGTATTTACCGACACCTTATCAACTTTGACGAACTTTGCGCCAGCTAGACACCTAGACTCTTCTGCACGGGCAACGTTGATAAACCAAGGATATCTGTTGCCTCCATTTTACTTTGTCAACTGCTTGGATCTATTCATTGACAGCAAAAACAACAACGAATTATCAAAATATGGCCGACCGCTTTGGCATGCTTATGAAATGTTCGTCCAGAAAAATAAGAATCGATTGACAATAGCAAACCTTCTTCAATTTGCAAGATTTAAACTTCTCAGATCTGAACAGCGCCTAGCAAAGCTCGGTGGTGACCATAAAAAGGCAGCTGCGATTGCATGTTTGGCGTGCCGAGCCGCACTTCGTATTCACCCTGGACGTCGCTTTGCTTCCGAGCTGGTGGGCGGTCATATGGCCGTCTGCTCACATGTGTACAACGATCGAAAAGCCATTCTCATTAATTACCCTTCTGAACCTATACTTGCTGAAGGGAGCCGTTCTGCGTTGCTTGGACCAGAAGCAGACTTCTCTGGTTGGAACATCAGTCTGGAACAGTTACAGCTTGCGATCCAGGAAGCAGATATTGATACAGGAAAAATTGGTGAATTGATCCACAGAATAGTGCTCTTGCTAGCGATGGATATGGCAAAGATGGAGATGGCTGGCCGTTCCAAACACAAGGGAGTCAGTGCCTATGACTTCCTGAAAGTCCTTGTGGGAGATTCAATTGACGCAAGTGGTAATGGTGGAACACAGATTGAGAACCTAAAGACAAAATACGTTTGGTTCAATCATTTCCTCCCTTTATATTACGTCCCTGACGCCAGCGCGTTCGAGCAGATTGCAAGAAGACGCGCAGCTACGGTCTGCAAGCCTGGTCAAAATGGAATTGATCATGAGATTCCGCTGATGGATGCTACTTATTCAAATGTTGTTGGCACACTCGCAATCCAAACAAAGAATGTTGTAAGCAAACATGACTCCGACTACCCCGCATCAGCAGGCTGGAAATTGGGCCGGGAATTTGCCTTTCATGGCAGTGATCGTGATGGGTCCTCAGACTCCGCTAGTGACTTCTACTACTTTGCTCTGTACCATAATATTGGTTATCAGCGTTCCCATGGAACGGAATCGTTTGAGTGCGAGCAAATAGAACCATCCACTCATGCACACGTATGGACATGTGGGCATGGGCAGAGAGATTGCTATTCTCCGATTGGGCTGAAGATGGTTGGGTTGGATCTGCCACTGTTTCAATCAACAAATGAAAAGCTTTGCTCAAATGTAAAGCAGATGCAAAAAAGCTTGAAGCAAATGCGGGACCAAGGAAGGAGCCCCATTGCCCACTTTACAGATGAGATGAAAACAAGTATTCGACAGCTTACACCCCTGGCATATGCCAGAGTGCCAGCGCCTGATGCCTGATCGGCAAAGTGATCCATCTTCTTTCCCAGGGCAGCTTTATTTGATTGCTTCTACATGGGTGTAAACACAAGACCTGAGTTGATGATGCATTTTCAAACCTACAGTAACTTCAAGAAAACTTCTAGCCAGCAGTTGCATTGAAAGTAAAGTATGCAGTGACATATAAAATGAGTGAATCCAACGAATAAGTTTCTAATTTAGTGACACAAATTGTTGGCTTTAGTCAGCAACATATACATATATAGAAGATAGCAACTATAATTCAGTGCTAGGCCCATTCAGATGCCCCAAAGAATAGCTTGATGACAACAGCTGCAAAAGTTGGTAATTATTGATGTGTTTTTCTTGTAATCCAACAAGATGAAGCCACAGTGCTGGCTAGTCTTGTTACACACAACCGAGAAGACAAGATTGGCACTGAAGAAGTGAAGAAACATACTTTTCACCAACAATGTACCACCGTGGGGGCTGAAATGAGCAAGCTGGATACCACTGGAGTCAGTGTTGCCCACAAGGGGAATAATATTGATTTTCTATCTCCTTGTTCCTTGTTGGCTTTGAAGATCGGTATGATCGCTGTCATCCGCTGTGCAGACTGAAAGAATGGAAGCATCTGAGATCCCCAGACAACAAAGCAGATGGAGGCAAACTCTTTTCAGCAAATGGAATGAGGTTGTTTTGTCCATCTTCTAGTTGGCTTGCAAATCAGCATGGGCACTGCCTGTCATGAAGCAAGCATAGTGAAAGAAATCAGAACTGGGGAGCTTTCATGCGGATTGTGTGAGATACCAGGAATACATAGCATATGAAGGCACTTGCAACTGTAGCTGATGCAATACAAGGTTTCAGGGGTAGCAGCAGCAAATTCTCCAATGATTGATACCTACAAGCCAGCGTGCTTCCTCAGAATAGCGCTCAAAGATGAAACATGGAAGAGTAATGAGGAATGTGACATCCCCCTCCCCTAGCAAAAAAACGATGACAAAAATCTACAGATCATGGCTGAATGGTTGTGCACTGCTGTTGTTGCCCATCAGGGTAAGAATGGCACTGAGCGGGTTTCCGGTTTTATCTAGGCAACAATTTTCTCCCATAACATCTCACAACTAGGTAAAATACAATATAATACCATTCAACCACAAAATTCAATCGAATTTTAAGCCAGGGAAGAGTTCTTTAATTGTCATAGTGGTGAGGTTTTGGTGTTTGACAGTTGACGTCTGCACTGTTTTCACCCAAGGGTGTGTTTAACGTGGAAGTACTTTGATAGGTCCAAATTCATGTTAAAGACATCACATGGGCTTGAATCACTTGATGTAGTTATTGTCTGGAGAAATTGCACATGTATGCTACCATGGAAACTGTGGCAAAAGTCTGATGCTACATACAAGAAGCGAGTAGGTTTGGCACAGTAGCAAGTTACTAAGTTAGTGACTGGTTTGCAATCAATAAGAGCTATGGTGCAAATGAGAGAGAGGGTGGCAAGGGTGGGAAAAAGCAAAAAGCTGTTGGTCTTGACAGAGCAGCTACGCCCCTTCTATTGTCTCCATCATCCCACAAGCTCCAGGTGTTTATGGTGTTTTTGGGCAAACTTTGGTTGGTCCCCCAAATTACCCTGTCAAACTGAGACCATCACGTTCTGTCCTGGGAAATTTTTTCTGTTTGCAATGTTATTGTGCAACAATGTTATTTCCACAAATCGACTAGTGAGTCTTTCTGTTCTTCCCCATGACACACCACTTACTTTGCCATGATATTGGCGAATCACCAAAATCATTGTTCATCCTGTATGGCTTTTTTGAAAATTCCCATCATCAGCCCAGAGTAGTCTTTGGGTGGCGTGTCTACAAAGACACTATCCAAAAAAGATGCCTTGGTTTCAATGGATGTCAATACAAAGTCCAATACCAGATCTTTGACCGATCCAGTCTCAGAAGACATGGCATAATGCTATTGTTGTTCATGACTGAATTGCTTGAGTTTTGATTGGTCCAGGCTTCTTTCTTTCAGCACATTAAGATGAGCAGAAATTTGATATTCAAGTGGGAAGGGGCTTTCTGCAGACAAAAGCTTCTGCATGAATGCAATGATGGGTGCCTCACCAGCCAAAAATGCAATGCTGATATTGATCTTGGAAGAAAACAATGACAAAGTGACAGCTGTCAGATTTTGGATGGATGCAAATGGAGGAGGCTTGTCTGAATCCACCAACAGCCTCTTCAGCAACTTTGCCCAACCTTGGGGGACAGTAAGGTCATACGTATGGCACATGCACACAAATAGTCCCTCAAACGCATTCCGCTTCCGCTCCACTTGTTGTAACAGTTCGTCCAGTGACGTTGACTTGTCCTCCTCTTCGTCCTCGTCCAACTGATAATAGCTGGTCAAAATATCCGACACAACCTTGTTGCAGCCGGGAAACAATATGTCATAAGCTGCATTGAAATCCTCTTGCTTGACTCTCTCAGCCCCAAGATGGTTGGCTCCAAGCTTCAAACCAAAAGTGGTGGTGCCCCTAGTTGCTGGGAAGATCATTGGAACCACAGCTGAGGGAGATTCGGCATTCCCGTTGCGTTGGGGCTAGCCCTGTACTTCAAAGTGCATATTGGAGCTTCAACAATAGCCCCAGTGCTAAAGAATTGTACATCAACAAGAGAACAAAGGAGCAAGCTTGATCGCCAACTGTATTATCTGAATCCAATGATCGTATGTTTCCTGTCAACTATCTCATCAGCAAAACAGAGCTCTCTCATCCTACGATGTTCACAAGTTGGTTCTTCAAGCTGAGCGCGTCGCGAAATGGTTCGATGCATCAAACAATTCTGTTAACGCTTTGGATTACGAAGATGCACCTTACTTTTGTGTCGTACAGTCGAGCGGGATGGGAAAGACCAAAGTAATTTACGAAGGTTGCAAGCAGTTGAAACAAAAGAATAATTTGTCTTGCTATACAGTTTTGCCATGGACACTGAAAGATTCCGATGCGCTGACAAAGGGCGACGTTTTCTCTCACAGGCTAAATCTTGAAGCATTTATGAAGGAAAAAATAGCCTTGGATGCTGCAACGGCAGTTCTTGAATTCCTGAATTCTTTCTACCACAAACTAGTAGCTGAAGCATCCAATCAGCACAATAATGAAAAGACCATATTTCTTTGTTTCGATGAAGCCCAGGTATACTTGGAATCCCAAAGGTTCGACAACGACAAGGGCGCCGAGAACGTTAAGCATCCTGCATTTCTATTTCGATGCATTTGGCTATGGCTTCGGCAAAAGAAACGACGTCAGGAAGTGATTGGTTGCTTTTCTGGTATGCTTGCAACCTTGGCAAGCTTCCGACTGGAGGCTGATCCACAGCTGTCAGTTCCATCATCTCGAGATTTCATGCCAAGTGGCAAGCAATACAACTTCTATGATAAAGGCGCAAAGATGTTTCCAATATTTCTTCAGACAACCACAATGGGCTGCCTCGCGGGTCGAAATTTGGAGGGAGATAAAGAATTGGGTAAACATACGACAGAGTATCGTCATGCGATCCGCCATGGACAACCGCTTTTTGAGCTCATGGAGGAAAATGGAGATCTAGCAAGAAATGAAGGATCAGTAGTCCGTCAGATGCTACTGTATGGTCTTGGGAATCACTGGATTGTTGGGAAGGAGTCACTCAAAGCATGTCTCAGTATTTTGGGTACCAGGGTGCGAATGGGCCAAACTTCTTTTCCTGTGGCTTCGGACATGGTAGGCTACGGTTATGCCAACCTGACCCATGCGACTTCAACAGATGCAATAATATGCTACATGCCAGATCCTGTTTGTGGTTGTCTGGCCATGCAACTGATGGACCCAGAATGGGCGTTGGGTGACATCAAAGGCAGACCCAGTAGTTGGTGGCTGCGGAAGATGAAGGAGATTTTTTCGCAAGGGCTCCTCTGTCGACCTGAAAAGGGGGACTTTGGTGAAATCATGGTTGCGCTGTACTTTCTTGTTTGTGCCGATGTGCTTCAGCGACGGGACAATCACAACCACACTACATTTTCAGTATCTCTTGAAGATTGGATAGAGCAGCTAAAAACTGGTGGGCTTGAGAGAAGACAAGGGCATCGTTCCAATGTTGACATTTTGCCAAAGCGGAAGAGCAAACGTCTCCTTGCTGCCAAATCACATGGCTCAAGACAGAAAATGACTGCTGAGAAAGTGGACGAAACAATGGCTGAAGCTTACGAAGTTGAAGTAGAGGCTAGCATCAGCTTTATTCAAGTTTGTCGAAACTATTTGCGTGCTTGTGAAGCGG